AATTAGCCGGGCATGGTAGCGCATGCCTGTAATTCCGGCTACTCAGAAGGCTGAGGCGGAAGGATCGCCGGAGCCCAGCAGGTCGAGACTGCGGTGGCCAGGAGTGGCCACTGCACTGCAGTCTGGGTAACAGAGTGAGACTCCAACTCAAAAAAATTAATTAAATAAATAAAATAAAAATAAGTTAAAAAGACAGGAACTACTTCTTGCTTTTGTCCTCTCTGCCTCAGTACAAGTCAGTAACTGTCAAAAGCCACATTGGCTAGCAGTTGTCTGACACTCCCAGAAGTATCTTAGGGAGGTACCTTCCCTGTGACTTCCAGTTGCCTTGGAAACATGACTTACTGGCTGTGGGGAGGGCTTATTTCTAGGAAGCAGCCACCTCCTTATGCCGTTTTTCTATGACAAACAGCATCTCCTGAATTTCAGATTCCTGCATGCACCTGTAAACCCTAGTAGGTATAAGTTGCAGAATTGCCATGCATTCAGGAAATCCTGTATAACGCAGTACCAACTAAACAAGAATCAGTTGTATTTACATTACAAAGGTTTTTTTTTTTTGAGTCGGAGTCTCACTCTGTCGCCCAGACTGGAGTGCAGTGGCACACTCCTGGCCACCGCAGCCTCGACCTGCTGGGCTCCGGGAATCCTTCCGCTTCAGCCTTCCAAGGAGCCGGAACTACAGGCGCATGCTACCATGCCCGGCTAATTTATTTATTTATTTACTGTAGAGACCTGGTCTCGCCAAGTTGCCCGGGCTGGTCTCGAACCCATAGGCTCAGGCAATCCACTCACCTCGGCTTCCCAAAGTGCTGGGATTACAGGCTGAGCCATCGAGCCTGGCATAAAGGTGTTTCTTATTCACTACAGCCCAGTGACACTCTCAGTAATGTTAGCAACAAGTGTTCTATTTGAGTGACTAGATACCTCTGATAAATGTTAAGAGCAATTTGAAACGGAATCCAAAAGAAATAGCATACACAAGCCCATCTTTCTGCAGCTCTGCTCCATTAAAATTGGTGGCCTTATTTAACATTCTGACTTGTGCTATTTTTGACAGGTTTAAACCTTTATTCTATCTACCTGCCATTTATTGAAGCATCATAGCACAACTTTAAAAATGTTTTTTGACCCAATGAAAAAAGTATAAAGGGCACCCTAAGACCTAAAAAAGGTTAATTTTCCAGGAAAAAAAATCTTGACTGAAAGAAATATTTTAACAATTGTAGTTGGATAGCTTGGTACCTTGTTTGAGAACATATACTTTGAAGTCAACTTAACCCAGAATTGTATATTAACTCTCTCTCTTACTGAGTTAACTTTGGCATACTGCTACTCTAGTGTTTCCCAAACTATAGTACACATTAGAATCACTTGAGGAGCTTTAAAAACATCCTGATGCTCAGGTTACACCTATACCAATTAAATCAGAAAGAAGATGGAAGCCAGGCATCAGTAAGTGTTAACAATTTCCAGGTGATTCCAATGTATTTCAGAGTTTGGGAACCATTATGTTATGCCTTTCTGAGGTTTCTTACTATTTGTAAATGAGAATGATAATATAATAATACCTGTCTCATGTAGTTTTTCTGTGGATGAAAATACTTTATAGAAAACTCTTAACCCAGTACCTGACATAAAATAAGTTCTTATAAAATAGAGTTTTAGAAGCATTTTGATAGTTTACTCACTGCCGTAGTCAGAAGATGATTGCATGAAAATCAGCTTTCAGCTTAGTCTGGCCCTTTGCCATAACCTTTCAGGCTATCAGGTAGTCCACTTCATTATAACAGGGTCAACTCCCATGCCAACCTATGACTTTTCACTGTATCTTTAAATGAAAAGATTCATTAACCTGTTTTTTTCCCCCATTTCTCAATAGGAAAATTTCTGGCAATGCCATGCTACAGTTGGCCCCCTTCTTATACTGGACATTTCTGGCTGCCTTTGAAGGAGTAGTATTCTTCTTTGGGACTTATTTTCTTTTTCAGACTGCATCCCTTGAAGAAAATGGAAAGGTAAAGACAACATGTCATTACATCTTTTGATAGTATAAGCATGGCTTATCTTTTTTTCCATAGGCACACAGCTATAATCATTTTGCAAGCTATTTTTCTTAAGATACATTATTTAGCTCTCACAGCTTCATTACAACAATAGAAAGGAAGTAAGAAATCACTTTTGGTGTGTGTGGCTAACTACAGAGCTTATGTGCAAACTTTCTGAATGCTTAACTTGGCTATACTTTTTACTAGGTGAACAGAGTTCTTGGGACTTCATACTATTTGACGTGAGAAAGGTTTTCCCCTTTTTAAAGCAAGGTCTGGCCCCACTCAGTTCTTATTCATAGTGGCCTTCAATGCTTGGTGTTGAAGAGGGTAGTTGCCATATCTTTGGAGTGTTTGCCCAATAAGTGAAGAGAGGGAATTCCCTTCTCTCCCTCCTTCCCTTCCAAATGGGATCATAGGCTCTCCAGAAAGGCTACACTAGTCCTGCCAGTGCCTTCCCAGCCGGTGACTATCTCAGTCAGCAGCTACACTAGGATAATTTTTCCCTGGCTGTACTCAAGGAGAAAATCAGTGTTGGGGGGACAGATGAAGCCTTCTTCCTGCAGCCACACAATAGGAAACCAAACATACTGCCTTGCATGCTGCTTTCACTATGTTCTTCTTTGCCATTTCAGGGATTCTTTTTTTTTTTTTTTTTTTTGAGTTGGAGTCTCACTCAGTCGCCCAGACTGGAGTGCAGTGGCCGCTCCCGGCAACCACAGCCTCAACCTGCTGGGCTCCGGCGATCCTTCCACCTCAGCCTTCTAAACAGCTGGAACTACAGGTGTGCGCTACCATGCCCAGCTAATTTTTTTGATTTATTGTAGAGATTAGGTCTCACCAAGTTGCCCAGGTGGATTTTGAACCTGCGGGTTCAGGCAATTCACTCACCTTGGCCTCCCAAAGCACGGGATTACAGGCCGAGCCACCAAACCCGGCGGATTTCTCTTTTATGGTCATTCATTCTTTATAATTATAATGTGAAGCAAAGCCAAAGTTCAAAATGAATTTATGGAGAACAGTGACTATGTCTGCAGCTTATTAACACCTGTTACAGAGATGACAGACTCAGTGAATTTAAATACTTTAAATTTAGGTACTACAGTCAAAACCCCTTTAATTGGGACTAACAGAAATCACTTAGTATGACTCCATGATAATTATTAATCACAAAGTAATTTTTGGGAAAATACAAATCTACTTTAGAGTAGTCACATATAGCACTTGCCAAAAAGAGTGTACTGTTAAAACCTGTGTGTCTGTGGGAAAGTCATGTCAGCTTTCCAAGTTAGCTTTGCCTGTCAGTAAGAAGAATGGGTTTGATTTTATAATCTCTCTAGTCTCTTCAACTTTATGACTGATTCTATGACTTTGACTTTTTATTTTATTTTATTTTTATCTGGTACATAAATTGTACACAGCTGGCTACTAATTAAAAAGAGTTTGCATTAGCCGGGCGTGGTAGCACCCACCTGTAGTTCCAGCTACTCGGAAGGCTGAGGCGGAAGGATCACCAGAGCTCAGCAGGTCGAGGCTGCGGTGGCCGGGAGCGGACACTGCACTCCCGTCTGGGCGACAGAGTGAGACTCCAGCTCAAAAAAAAAAAAAGAGTTTGCTCCAAGGCTGAGGTGAGAGGATTGCCTGAGCCCATGGGTTCAAGACCAGCCTGGGCAACTTGGTGAGACCTCATCTCTACAATAAATCAAAAAAATCAGCTGGGCATGGTGGTATGTGCCTGTAGTTCCAGTTACTTGAAAAGCTGAGGCGGAAGGATTGCCTGAGCCCAGCAGCTCAAGGCTGCAGTGGCCATGAGTGTGCCACTGCAACTCCAACCTCGGTGACAGTGAGACTGCGATTAAAAAAAAAAGTTGCCAGGCTCGGTGGCTCAGCCTGTAATCCTGCGCCTTGGGAGGCTGAAGTGAGTGGATTGCCTGAGCCCATGGGTTCGAGACCTGCCTGGGCAACTTGGTGAGACCTAATCTCTACAATAAATCAAAAAATCCGCCAGGCGTGGTAGCGCATGCCTGTAATTCCGGCTACTCGGAAGGCTGAGGCGGAAGGATCGCCGGAGCCCAGCAGGTCGAGGCTGCGGTGGCCGGAAGCGGCCACTGCACTCCAGTCTGGGCGACTGAGTGAGACTCCAACTCAAAAAAAAAAAAAAAAAATTAAGCCGGGCTCAGTGGCTCAGCCTGTAATCCCGTGCCTTTGGGAGGCTGAGGTGAGTGGATTGCCTGAGCCCGCGGGTTCGAGACCCGCCTGGACAACTTGGGAGACCTCATCTCTACAATAAATCAAAAAATCAGCCGGCGTGGTAGCGCGCACCTGTAGTTCCAGCTTCTTGGAAGGCTGAGGCGGAAGGATTGCCAGAGTCCAGCAGGTCGAGGCTGTGGTAGCCAGGAGCGGCCACTGCACTAGTCTGGACGACAGAGTGAGACTCCAACTCAAAAAAAAAATAAAAATAAAAAAGCGTTTGTTCCAAAGTATGTGGATAGTCTCTCCTGCAGTCCTGTTGACATGATTCATTTGCTCAGCAAACTTTCCAGGTGGTGCATGAGAAGTGTCAACCTAGTCTGTATTCAGTTCTTAACCCATTTTAAGTGCATGAAGTCCAAATTAATAAGGTTTTACTGTATATGTCATCATCCCTCTAAATGTTTGCTAAAATTACAATAAGCGTAAGAACTGCTATTAGCAACTAAACATAACACTCATGTATGATTTGATTGAATCCTTTTTTGCTTCTATTAACCTTATTTTATTTTATTTTTGAAAACCTTTTACATCTCATTTTCTGTTTTAATGTTATGCATTCAGATCTTGACAGCATTTGGTAAGCATATGTGCCACTCATTGCCATCGTTTGGATCTATACGTGGTATCTGCTTTTCTTTGATGTGCACATGCTGACAGCTCTAGTATTTGCAGTCAAAAATTAGAGTCTTTATAAAAATGTGAGTCCATTTGTCTAAAAATTATTGCTTATTTGAGAAGTTTAGTTCTATATTATAGGAAAAGCCCATATCAAGCTCTTTAGAGAGATGTCATCCAAATGACTTGTTTTGATGAATTGCTATTAGTGTAATAGGTATCTTTTGGGTTTTTTAAATTTTCTTGCCTTTATCACATCAGTGAGTTCCCTATTCAGTGCTACCGGGAATAATGGAAATAAACCCTATCAACCACAGATGTGGTCTACCTGTCCATGAAAATTTAGGATCACATGAAAATCCAACATTATGGCCTGATCTTAGAGACTAGCTGTTTCCCTAAACAATTCATACAAAAATCTTTGGCAGTCACACACAAGATTAAACTTGACTTTTTATTTATTTTTGAATGCAGGCTTATGTATTCATGATACATGTAATCGTTCAATGTTTTTCAGGTGTATGGAAACTGGACATTTGGAACCATTGTTTTTACAGTCTTAATATTCACTGTAACTCTGAAGGTTAGATTTTCATTTATTCAAATATATTTAACACTGTTTTTGTGATACTTTCTAGTCTTACCCTTATATATCATTTTTGTCTTCTAATCTTTATTTTTGTTGTGAATTGTTATTCAAGCCTTTGTCTAAATGTGCACTAAAATGTGTATGATGCTAGGGATCTGGACATTTGTATACTCTTTATAATATATTTTTTCCAGTATATTATCTAGCCCCTTGTTTTAGTTTTAGAAATTTCAAACACCATACCATGTTGGAAATCCATTTCTTCTTTACTCCTGTTTTTAGGGCATTATGGTAAGTGACATATACACAGACTGTGTGTGTGTCTCTATGTGCGTATTCATGTTAAGTACTTGAATCTTTTAAAAAAATTATACATCTGCTTGAGAACCCTAGTCCTAAAAGAAATTTAGGTATTTATGACAGTTAAATTAGGTATACATGAGCAAGGTATGTGTAAAAAAGCTTGTTAGTAATAAAATATTTTAAAATGTATTAATCACTGAAATTTACCCACATGTTAATGATGAAGTACACAAGAATATTTTGCAGGTAAAAAAAAAAAAAGAATGGTGATTTTGACAAAATCACTGGCATTGACGTGCAACCATGCAATAATACTGAGAAGCCTCACTAAATGCTATCCTGAAGCCAATGATTTGGGACTTTTTTTTTTTTTTGAGTTGGAGTCTCACTCTGTCGCCCAGACTGGAGTGCAGTGGCCGCTCCCGGCCACCGCAGCCTCGACCTGCTAGGCTCCGACGATCCTTCCGCCTCAGCCTTCTGAGTAGCCGGAATTACAGGCGTGCACTACCACGCCCGGCTAATTTTTTTTTTTTATTTTATTGTAGAGATGAGGTCTCGCCTGCCCAGGCGGGTCTCGAACCCGCGGGCTCAGGCAATCCACTCACCTCAACCTCCCAAAGGCGCGGGATTACAGGCTGAGCCACCAAGCCCGGCTTGGGACTCTTACAGTTGAAAACATGATCAAATTATTTTAATTATCCTACTAATAGATACTTCACATGGCATCTAATAATGAGTACATTTAAATGATTTCCAATATGGACAGTGGTCAGAACCAGAATTCAGAAGTATAATTGTCAAAGGACCTGTCTAAATTTTCCCTCTAAGTTTTTTTTTCCTGATTTATTTCTCCTACCAAATAGAGCTAACATATGTTTGCCAATAACATTTTAGGACTTTAAAAGGACATGTTATAATTAAAAGGACATGTTAGTCATTTACTAGCTGTGTGTCTTTGGGCAAGTGATTACACTTCTGTGCCTCAGTTTCCTCTTTGATAAAATTAACATCTTGGGGTTTTGTTTTGGTTTTTTTGAGTTGGAGTCTCACTCTGTCCCCCAGACTGGAGTGCAGTGGCCGCTCCCGGCGATCCTTCTGCCTCAGCCTTCCAAGCAGCCGGAACTACAGGCGCGTGCTACCACGCCCGGCTAATTTTTGATTTATTGTAGAGATGAAGTCTCACCAAATTGCCCAGGGAGGTCTCAAACCCAGGGGCTCAGGCAATCCACTCACCTCGGCCTCCCAAAGCACTGGGATTACAGGCTGAGCCACTGAGCCCGGCTTCCTTTTAGGGTTTTTGTGAAGAGTAAATTAGTAAATATACATAAAGTGCTGAGAATGGTGTCTGGCACATAGAATGTGCTCATTACAATAAATTCTAGTTGTTGATATTATTTATTATGTTTCACAGGATCTTGATTTGAAATGGAAGCCTCTCCTTCCTTTTTCCCCCAGGCCTTGCATATAGCCCCAGGGCTTCCAAATGGCCTTCACCGTTAAAGCCTTCTTACAGCATCTTGCAAGTGTACCTCAAAAGATATGCATTTTTGCTAGCAACCAGCAGGGTAGGAATTCAAGACTGGGCTACATTAACAATGTTATCAACATCCCGTTTGTGAATGGGAGACTGTAACAGAGAACTGAGGATCATGGTGTCACAGCAAGTAACAAAATTGAGACACCACCTCCTTTGTAAGAATTACATTTTCTAGATATTAGCCTGTACGACCTGGAAGTTTTTGGCAAGGGGAGCAGACCCTACTTTTGTTTTAGATTACATTTGAAAACCCCGGGTGTCAAAATCTGAAAACATGATCAGTCCTGGCAGAAACATGAAGAGAGTGAAATCTAAAGCAACTGAACATTTTATTAATTTAATAGAATAGATATAGATTTTGTAATTGGATTAGCACACCTCATAGTCAGACCCATGATCTGTTCCTTCATGATGTTAGGTGTAGAGAGCTTTTGTATTTAGTAATTCCTGTTTGTTGTATTTGATCTTTCTTGACACCTTTGCAGTTTGTCTACCTTCTCTAGATACCCCTTCTCTCCTTTCAGCATTCCTGCCCTCACCAGCTAGGCCTTCTTCTTTTTTATTTATTTATTATTTTAATATATATTTTTATTTTAAAATTGTGGGGTTTTATTTTAAAATTTTAAAATTTTATTTTAAAATTGTTGATGAGGTGTGCCCCCCTTTCCCCAGACAGATATTGACTACCATTAATCCCACC